ACCTGCAAGCAACAGCTCCTCTCTCCGAAACACACCCCACAGAAACACTAACACAAGATCCCCAAGAGTCATGGCCTAGAACAGCGATGGCGAACCTTTTAGAGACGAGTGCCCAAGTTGCAACACCAAACCCACCTATTTATCTCAAAGTGCCAAAGCTGAATACTGAGGTTGTTAGTTTAGGAAAAACAACTCATACATTAACACCTTTTGTCTTACTAGAAAAACAAATAACATGCATTCTATAGGTCCACCACCCCTGACACAGAATGTTCCCAGCAGTACTGTTCATAACAGCAGTAAAACCCAGAAACTATTCAAATGTCCATCTACATTTTATAAATCAGTAAACTGTAGATGCATCCACATCACAGAACATGTAATGATAAAACTAAATCACATTTCATTTCAGCGCCTGCCTTGCAAGTGTAAGGGCCCAAGTTCAATCCCTGGTACAAAAAAAACTAAATCACATGCAGGATGGGGATTTAGTTCAGTGGTTCTGCCGCCTGCCTCACAAGTACAAGGTCCCGAATTTGATACCCGGTACCAAACAAACAAAAACTAAATCACAAGCAAGACCAGATAAATCTCATAAACCTAATATCTAGCAAAAGAATACAGAGAAGCCGGGTGTGGTGGCACATGTCTGTAATCCCAGAGCTTGGAAGGCTGAGGCAGAAGGATCGCTGTGAGTTTGAGACCAGCCTGGGGTACATAGTGAGTTCCAGGTCAGTCTCACCTACACAGTGAGACCCTGTCTCAAAAAACCAAACACCAAACCAAACAAAAAGAAGCCAGACAAAAGAGACCCCATACTATAGTACGTATGACAAAAGCTGACCCAAAACTGGGTTTGGTGGCATATACCTATAATCCCAGCACTCTGGGAGGCTGAGGCAGGAGTTATCAAAAGTTTGAGCCTAGGCTAGGCAACTTGGTGACTTAGTGAGACTCTATCTCAAAATAAAACACAAAATGGGCTGAGGATGCAGCTAGGTATGAAAGCCCTAGGTTCAACCCCATTACTATCACAAAAAAAAAGGAGGGTGGTGCTCAGTGACTCTGTGGTAATGTAAGTTGAGATGGCAGGAGAAGAGCAGCAAGGGGGCTTCAGAAGTGTAGGGCTGGTATATAAATGTTTTCAGTTTTGGAAAATTCAGTGAGAAGTAATCAACAATCATACAAGTTTCCATGTGCGTGTTATACTTCAATAGAACTCTTTTTTTTTTTTTTTTTTTTTT